TCGGGAGGCGGCGGGGGGGTTCGGCAAAGCACCACAATCATTTTCACTCCATTAGCCGTTTGAGTTAAACAGAAGTGGGAGACGACGACGCGGCTCGTTCGTTTAAAGGGCCGGTTTGGGCGACAGCAGGAAGGGGAAGGCTGTGGGTTTTAAAGGAAGCGTTCAAAGCAGAAAGGTGAGAAGTTCTGGAGGATTGCTGAGGGAAAACGTGAGGATGTTCCATCACCTGAGAGACGAGTCTCACAAAACTCGACGCATTTTGTTGTGTCGTAGCGTTCATTGATTCAAAATCCCAAATGTAAAACTCTGAGATGCTGATTCAAAAGTCTTTTGAGTTCGAAACAAAGTGTTTGTCTCTGTTGGGGTCAAAGTTCATGACTGAATGAAGAGGGAAAGTGGACAAAAATGGAGGTCAAAGGCCAAAACTGCTGAAAACTTTTCATACAGCTTGTTATCTCTATACATGTTTGACACTTGAATTCATAAAAATGGTTTGAAACATCTTCAACATTTGGTTGGGGGAAATCACCTGTTCAAGGATCTGTATTCAAGTTATTTTTGTTCATTTCAACTAAATAGCTTATTTAAAGCATTTGTAGATGTGATATCCTTGCTTTTATTACTAGTTTCTGTCCTGAATAACTCAATAATGAAACCCTTACCCGCTAATGAGACCATTTGGAGAGAAAACGATTCAAAAGTCACATTTTTCAAACGCTCTGGAATCTAAAAAGTGTAGGTGTTTTCCTTGCGAAGGCCGTGTGAGCGAAGCGTTTTGTTGAAAGGGCTGGCGGATGCAAAATATCCCGAAATATGAAGCGCAGCCTGCCTTGGTTTTGCCGGTGCTTCTCATTAAGCATGCTGCGAGTAACGAGGGAAACTCACTTTCCCAGAGGCTTTGTTTCTCTGAAGCTAAATGGTGTTTTTATAGTGTTTAGTATTCTACTCTTCCAGCACTGTCCTGCTTTATGGAGCGGAGAACACACACACATTTACTCGTGTGTTCATTAGAAGCAGTAGTAGTAATTGACGTTCTTTAGTGCTGGTGTGTCAGGCAGTTTTCAACTCCTCGGACCCTCCTCGAGGGATTAATCCAAAGAAATCCAATCAGACTGTCTTCATTTACACCGACGGCCATTTTAGTTTTATTAGCCAGGTTTTTCTATTAGAGACTCGCTGTAGAGAGCACCCCCCTTCCCCCGCCTCCCCGCCCTCCCTTCCCTTTTCTCCCTGTTTAATGAAGCTGCTGCACCAGTCAAACTGGGGCTGGAGCACTGGGGCCGTTTCAACAAACCCAAAACCTACGCTCAAAGCCCTCCGAGATTACACAAGCGGCGCGAGAAAGCCGGCGGTCCAGAGCCGCGTCTCGGTTTGTTTTCTCGCAAATCTCGACATGAGGGGGAGATCACAGCTTGTGGACCAAACCCCTCACCCTTTTTTATTATTATTATTATTTTTTTATCCATGTTGCACCGAGTTGCGCACATGAAAGGTGACGGAGGCAGTTTTGTGAAGACTGAGAAATGAGAGCTTCAGGAGATGTTCAAATACTGTTTGACGATCCGGCAAGCGTTCCCTTTTTTTCTTTTCTGAGCATGCTCCCGCCTTTTATGTTGACATGTAACATGTCAGACTGCGGAGCAGCTACTCTGATACGGATGGATTCCTGTTGCAAAACTCCCAAGTACACGGCTGCGAAAGTCGCCCCTCAAAGCTGAAGCGTTTGTGCAGAAACACACACCAATAATTTCAGGCTTCTCGCTGCATTTTGCTCCGAGATGTTGCGCTCGCAGTTGATTTATTGCTGCGTATTAAAACCAAATAATCTCCCCCATCCCCTTGTCACTGTAAGCTGTTCTCAATCCCCTCCCCTCACTCTGGGCTCGCTTCGCCGGCAAGAACAAAGAAAGTTACGGGCGGACTCTGCGAGAAGGCAGCTGCTTTCTAATAATAGCCGAATAATCGGTGTCGTCACCGATACGAGCAACTGGAGTTCACACGTCAGTCCTGAGGAATTATGCAAAACGTGTCTTTGATCGTTGGGGGTTAAAGTGGGAAACTAACCTCGTTAGTATAAGGAAAACACTTCCTGCTCTCAGCTGAGTGGCTAAATGATGTAATTAGGAGAAAGTGTGGCCATTACTTCCTATAGAAACCACCAGAGATGATATAAGGCTGAAAAGTGACCCGCAAAAGTTTAAAGTTAAAAATGTCTTTTTCTTTTTTAAATTGGATTAAAAGTTTACATATAGTGGTCATGAGGGGTCAAATTATGTGATTTGACGTTAAGGATTGATTTGAACCTTAAAAACCAGGATCTAACTTTTCCTTTGGCAGAACCATTAAACCCTCTGGCCACTTTAATAGGTAAAGGTCAATTATACATCAGCGTCTGTGTTTTTCAGCATGATCAGGTCCAAACCCGGGTCTTCTCCTATTTCAACTCAAACTAGAATTTCCAGACAGATTTATTCATTTTGTAAAAGCGACATAAAACTTGCCTACCAGTTGGTCTTGCACCTAAATCATATACTTAAAATGAAAGATGAAGTTTGGATCATTGTTCTTCACATAAAGTAGGTCGCTACGTTTTTATATAACTGTCGTCTTCGAGTGTAGCTTTGAGGAACTTGATGGTGTGAGAGCTCTTCGCTCGCTCTGGTCAGCGGGTCTGGAGGGGTGTGTGTGCGTGTGTGTGTGTGTGTGTTGTGTGTGTGTGTGTGTGTGTGTGTGTGTGTGGGTCAGTTGACCTCCTTCACCTTCCCTCTTAGTGTCGCTTCCTGTTTTCTCCTCTTTGGTTGGACGGGGCGCTCGGCTACTGGCCTCTGAGGAGGAGAACTCGGCCCCCTCGCCGCGCTGTCCCATCGCATCTCCATCACCGCTTTCATCACTGTAACCAGCGAATTAGTCGTCTGTTAACAACTTCTGCTAAGTTTTTGTTGGGTTCCTCAGGCCGGAGCTGCAAAATGACGTTTCAGTTTGATTTTTGTTTCAAGAAAATATTACGGCATCTCCTTTTGGCTCAATCGGACAGAAAGTTTCGACTTTAAACTCCAACTAGAACCAAAGGCTTATTTTCATTTCAATGTTCATCCATCTGTCCGTCATTTGGATCCATCAGATTTTCAGCTTTCATCAATTCTTAAAAATTTATGGTGACATTTTGGTTTTATCTGGAATTTATAGTTTGGAAAAACTGTAGCATTTGGGATGTGAAAATGTCAGATTTTTAAAAAATATATATATTTTTCTGGTTTTGTTGCATTTTCTTTCCAACTGCTTATAGTTTGATGTCGTTTAAATTTAATAAAGACAAATTTTCTCCATTTTCCTGCAAATTCCCACCACTCCAAGTCATTTTTATTGAATATAAAAACTAGAAACTGAACTCTGACTTTTAATAAAAACAGTTTTGGTTTCAGCAGGTGTCCTCGTGTCCCACCCGCCGTCCTGTGGGTCAATCTGATCCGGATCGGGCCTCCTGCTGTGATCCATCTGCCGTTTCCTCATGCCTCCTCTTTCCTCTGATCTGACCGCGTTTGCATCGAGTTCCCACTTCCTTTTTTCCACTCGCTTCCTATCAGACTGGAGATGCTAATCCCGTGTGACCTTTCCTGTCCGGAGGTCATCACCCAGACGATCGGCAGATTACGGAACGTTTTCTGTCTGAGTCGATTAGCTCCTAATTTGTTTGAACTTTTTGCAACTTTGAATGGCACAATTTACATATATATTTTTTAAATGCTGTAGTTCCATTTCTAGTTAGTGAAGGAACTTTTTAAAATGTTTTGTCTGTCCTCCTGAATAAAGTGCGGTCTTGCTGGAGACCCTTTGCTCCCGGGGTTCTTCTGCCAGACGCAGAGACAAATCGCCGGTTATTGCAGCTGCTGCTACTCCTGATTTTTAATGATGTCGCTCTTGAATATTAAAACCATTATGGAGGAGAGAGGGCGACGAGAGAAGAGGGAGAGAAAAAAGAAAAAAAAACATTGCGATGTGATTTATTATTCTGCTCTGGGTGAGTCCCCTGCTCTCCTCCGTCTCTCTCTTCATTACATTCGCTCCGTCCGTTCTTCCTCTCCCTCGTTTCTTCATCTCTGTCGTCTTTCGTAATTGTTTTACATTACGTTTTTTTTGTCTGTTTTTCGTGGACCGTTTTGGCAAATGTTCCTTTTTATTATTTTTCTCTCTCTCTCGGTTTTGCCGATTTGTCACCCCAATGACAGAGGATGACTCAGGCTCCGTGGGGTTTTTATTCTGTGTGTGTGTGTGTGTGTGTGTGTGTGTAGGAGGCGCAGTGCTAATAGTCCCTCTCTCCCTGACAGACTAATGAGTAGTTTGGGCTCCCGTCTATCACGCGCTCTCCGTTTCCCTTCCTACCTCTGGCTCTTGGAAATGATGAGCTCACTCGCACCCGCTTTCCAGTGACGAATTCTTTCAAACTGGTGTCTCTTTTTATTTTTTATTTTTTTATTATTCTCTCTCTCTGTCTGTTGTCGTGGCTGTCACTGTCTTTGTGAAGCTCATCCATCTCTGTCTGCTGTGTAGTGAAAGAAACAGCTGGTTAACGTGGTCATCTGAGTGAAAATGCAGCATCTCGGAGCAGCAGACGTTTCTGCGAATGTTCAAGTCAATTTATGATGCTGGAAAGTTAAGGAGAACAAATGAATTGTTCTACCTTTAATTTGACATGAATGCTGTACAACTAGACTGAAAAAACATTTTTGATTGAGCTACCTGTGTCCAGACTTGCAAAGCATCTTCAACTTACCTGAAGAAGTTTTACATTCCCAAAAATGTACTTAAATTTATACAAAAAATACAAATATTGAAGTATTAGTGGATTTTTTTGGTAGAGAAGATGTAATATAAAAATGTGAGATGTTGTCCACTGGTTTGGTGCAGCTTGACACTAAGCCTGAAGGAAAAACAGAAACGGAGTATCGGAGCGGCTCTTGTCGTCACTAACTGCTTTTCTTGTCCACGTTTCCCCCCTGCAGAGGAGCTGGCGTACGAGGTGAGGTGGTTTTTCACCCGGCTGCGCGGCGGGCCGACCACCAGTCCAGTGGTCAGCGTGGACCGCTTCGGCGTCGCCACCAAGTCCATCCGCAACTCGTCCAGCGACGTCTCCATAGAGCGCAAGGACCCCAGCACCTACGTGCTCAACATTTTCGGCACTCAGGACAGGTGAGAGTTTAACCTTTAACCTTTTCCTCCCTGACCTGTTTTACTCGCCTCCGATATTTCTGCTTCATCATGATTGCGACTGTGGCGTTTAACTGGGTTTTCTGTGCTTCCCAGTGACAGTGGTGAGTACCACTGCATGGTGACTCCTTGGTACAAGTCGGCCTCATCGGGACTTTGGACTCAGGATAGAGATTATACCTCTGGCAAAGTCTTCCTCTCCGTCAAATTTGCAGGTGAAGAAATGTTTAAAATAATCACCCAGATTTACAAAATAACCTGAAAGCTCCTGCAGAACCTGGATTATTTTGTTCTAAGCAATTGTTCTCTCTCTTTTTTCTGCAGTATGGGACTCCTTAAAGCTACCTCTCCTATACGGTGCATCAGCCTCTCTGGGTAATATTGAAACTAAATATCAAAGTGATTCATTAATATTTAGTAGTTGTTTTTGGGTTTTTTTTGTCTTTCACATCAGTCAACTCCAAAAGTGCTGCACTCCATCTGTAAATAATCATTTTTATGCAGCAAAATGCAAATCCTCGCTGCACATGGTGTCCACATTTCTAGCACAAATGCTAACAATGTCCGATCGGCTGCTTTTGCAGCGCAACTAAACTATCATAATATTTCAGTGTCAGCTGGCTCGCGTCTTAAACCGACTCATCTTCACTCTAAAGTCGCGCTCTGCATTTTGAAGCGTCTCGTTTCAGCTTTTGTTTTGTCTGCAGGTGTGGGCGTCTTCTCTCTGCTTCTGGGTCTGATTTGCGCCCGGTGCTGCTGCCGCAACACGGCGCACACCCCCCGCTCGCGCAGCAAGCTGATGGACCTCGAGATGGACTGACAAACACTTTCCCCTGCGCCCGCCCACTGCAGCGCCCACAAGAAGCACCACGCGTCAAACAGACACACTCCCGTCGACGACTTCTGGGACACCCACCTGTTTGCCGCCGACGGACGCTGGGAGTGAGTCTGTCGTTTCGGGAGCCTGACCGACCAATCACAGTGCTTATTTTTTTGAAATAAAATTAAATCTAATAAAGGTGCTTTTTGGGGGGAAGACTTCTCGACTCTGCAGTGGAGGCGCAGGGGATTTTCACGCTCGCTCCATGGAGAAATAGCCTTTCAGACTTCTGTTTCGATTTTGGGTACGTTTTGCTTTCCCAATAGGATTTCTATCCATTTTTGAGAAACTCTGAGGAAGCCGGAGCTTCTGAGATGTCACTGCCCACTGGGACTAGAGGACCTCTACACAGAAATGCTGCCTCTAACCACTAGGAATAACAAATAAAGAAGCGCTCAGGCTGGATTACTTTTCTTTTTCCAGATGCCAAGGCTCATCGCAAAGTACAACCTGTTTTTTTGTTTTGTTTTTGAATCGCAGATGAACCATGAAAAAGTCCGAGGCTGGATTAATGGAACCTGGATTCGTTGGATTTCTTTCGTTTTGAAGCCTGAGCCTTCCTTCTGCCATAGAGGAGTTTGTGGAGTAAACATGAAAATAGAAAAAATTTAAAAAGTGCTTCATGTTTCCAAATGAGAGGCGTTGCACTACCATCCCAGAGTGATCCTATTTTAACAAAAAAGGAAAACAACTAACTTTATTGTCAGGACTCTCTCTTTTTTTTTCTTTAAATTGAGAGATTTTAAAGAGACATTTCTAAGCTTTACAAAAAGATATGCAGTCGGTGTGTTTGTGTGTGAGATATACTGTACACGGTGCCAATATTTGTGGAGTGTGCTTAGCTCAGATTGCCGGACCGACACTTGAACAGTCGCTCCCAGCAGCGGCGGAAACACTCCTCTTTTCTAAGTATTCAGAAATGTACCCAGATGTTATTTTTGCCTGAGTCTCGTGTGTGTTTTGTACAGTGTGTGTGAGTGCTGTGCGACAAAGGGTTGCATGTACTGTTTAAGAACATTATGATGTTTGTCATGAGCAACATCAATCTTTCTCCTTGCCCACTGGAAAGCCTGCAGCTCTCAAATGTTAAAAACCAGCTGCTGAAAATGCTGGCCGGCGTCAGCACATGATGCTAATTCAGGATGACACAAGACACTCGATTGCTTTTTTTTTTTCATTGTTATTATTATTTGCATTCATCATAGTTTATAATTTTGCATGTCCATGAGTCTCATGTTTTAATTTTTCAAAATTGTTTTTTGTTTAATGTGCTTAGCTTGGATTTGTTAGCATGAAGACGAAAAGCAGGGAGACGGCTAAATTAGCTTGCTAACATAAATCACCTATTTTTGTTCAGTGACTATTAAACATCTTCTTAGCCACTATTTGAACCCAGTTTTTATCATTTTTTGTAACATTTATAAAACTGTGAAAGTTTTGCTTTCCAAAACTATAACGTTTTTTACCTCAATTAGTAGTTAGCTTAACAAAATTATGCTATGCTATATCCTGCTTTAACCCGTTTAATCCCACCGGCAACAATCGCTGCTGTTAGCATAATGCATAGATAGCACTATGCTACGTGTCTATAGCTTTCCTGTTTGTTCTATACATCTTGCCGTTTCCACAGCTTCAAACTGTCAGATATTTTAGACCTTCTAGGCCTGAAGGAACCTCAAAATTATGTTTTCTACATCACTGTCATTCCCTCAGTTGAAGCCCTTCTACTTCATCCCCCCAAAAGCCGACTGTTTCCTTAAAATGTGGCTTATGCACTGAATGACCACCACAAGATGACGCCACACCTGAAACTACTTCAGGACAAGGCAACGGTCTTGTGCTTGGTCTGGTGGACATGCAGATTTGTTCATACTAACATTTTCACCTAATTTTGCCTCAGTGATGAAATGACCAAGTGAGGTCAAAGGTCACTTGGCACATTGAGACAATGACATCTGCAGGACGTGCCATTGAGTTGTGATGCATCTAAAATATTTCTCAACACTCTTGTAGCCGTTCTTTCTTACAATTGCTTATGCATGTCATGATTTTTTCTCATTTCTTTACATGTATATGTTGGTGTAAAACCTAGATTTTCACTAACATAACCAACATAAAATATAATAATTCATAAATATCACGTGTGGTGGAGGTCCACGGATTGAAATGCACGCACTTATTTTGCAGGAGAAAGAAAAATTGGGATTAAACGGGTTAATCTGGCCAAAAACATGCATATATTCAGTTTTGTTCAATTCTTTACTGATGGCTGTTAGTTGAAATGCTAAGCGGAAAACATTTGGATACTGTAACCTCTAATATTTCCTTCAATTATTCAATATGTTTAGCATTTTCTCATGGTTCGCTCTATACCAAGCATAAACTTTAAAGGCTAGTTGAGTTAGTTTGGAGATCTCCTCTGCTCTGAATGCTTCATTTTGAGAGAGAAGAGCAGAGCAGCGGCAAAAATGTTGGTTGAATCAGTTTATACGACAAAACCTGATGAGTCTGTTTTCAGTTTGTTTTTGTTTTTTTCCCATTAGCAGTCGAATGAACTTGTGGTGACTGGCGCGTCATGTTGTCTGCTGTGTGAACACACTCTCGCAGCTCCACCAACAACATAAAGTGACAGAGTTTCAGTCCAGACCCACCAGGAGGCAACCAGCCTCTTCCTGAACTGCTAGTGTACAGAGATGTTTTTAAAGTGAATTTTAATCAGATATTTAAGAGCAATAATCAGGTTACGGCTCAGAGAACGATGCACTCTCAGTCAGAGCTTCAACACTCCAAGATGAGGAGATGATTAATTTATTTACCTGTTGTCCATTACATTAAGAACTTTTATTTTTTTGTTTTTGTTCTTCTGAGACGGCAAGTCCAGAAATATTATTCCAACCACAACCCTGTAAGGATATTCTGCCAAACGTCGTTCGTAAGGCCGAATTTGACCCGGATCCAAAAGCCGGGAGCAGAACGTTGAAAAACCAAACGCATCCTGGATAGTCGGTTCCCAACGTGTCCTCCGCTCGGGACTGAGAGCTGGACGAACGCTGGACACTGTTGATGTTTTGGCCTGATTGATGGTGACTTTTCTTTCCGGTAAGGTGTGTGCACTTCTTTCTGCTCTGGGTTTTTCAGGATCAGTTTTGCCTCCTCAGCAAGTGGCTGTATCAAAACAATACTACTACTACTAATAATAATAATGCTTTGTGCCAAATGTTCCCAACTTTACATTGATGCACACCACTGAACTTGTCCCAGGAAGGCTTCCATATTGTCTTTTTTTGTTTGTTTTTATAGCAGTTAATATAATAAATCATGATTTTTTTTTTTAATAAATAGATTTGTGATATGGACTCTTCCTGATGCTTTTTCTTGTCTGTGCTTTTCAATATGTGGATGTTTACATAGATGGCATAACAAAAGCAAACATTTGTTCCTCTTTGTTGCATTAAATCAGACTAAACTCCCTGAATCAAGTTAGTTTTACTATAATTTTGCAGAACTGGATGTCTTCTGTCTTGCAACCTGTTGTCATAATCCCTGAATTGACCAAAAAATACAAAGATTTAACATTATAGATGTTTTCCACATCTGTTCAGTTTGTGGTTAGTCACCGGTTTTGGATTCATCAGAGGATGTTTTAACAGATCTGTGCAGTCGGCAGACTGCGCCGGGTTGGTTTACAAAAAAAAAAGAGGGCAAATGTTTACCCATTCCTTTGCTGCGCTGGCACCGGCTGAAAGTTTACCCAGAAGTTGTTTCTGGGTTTCCATGGGAGTTGTTTTACAGGTGATTGAGTCACTGGGTTTGCTTCATTTCTAATCCAGCTCTAATCCAGCTCTTTCTGCTCTTTTCTCTCTCTGTATGTTTTAGGTCTTAATCTGGGTTTCCTTTGGAGAAACCAGACACAAAGTTGAAGCTGAAAATGTGATGCGATTGGTACCACCAGGTACCAGCCGGCCCTGGTGGTACCGGTTTGTACCACCATTAAATGCTAATCCGATCAGCATTTAATCCCTGATCGGATTAAATGCTGAATTGAACAAGTTTCATATTTTTCTTTTGTATTTCCATTGTATTTGCGCAGCAACCATAAAACTAGTTTCTCCACATGTAAATATTTATTCACATATGTATGGAGGGATGTTTTTTTTCTGAATTTTTCCTTGCTCTTGGGGGCCCCCTGGTGGTATGGAGGCCCTAAGCAGTTGCTTCACATGCATATTGGACAACGCCACTGTTTTCAACACGCATGCCTATGTATTTTTTATCACTTCATCTCTGCAGCTCTTGATTTAAATGCAGATGAGTTTCCTGACTTTTCATTTTTGCACCTCTTTAACAATCTCTCCATCCCCCCTCCCCTCCTCTCATCTCCAGTTCATGTCGAGCTAACAGGGATGAAAGATCCGCTTTTGATTGGCTGCTGGCTTTTTTTAACACGCACTTGTTCTCTCTCAGGGTCCGTTTGACCCATTTTCCTGTCCCTGCATGTGCGTGTTCATGGGCCATTTGTTAATGCGGCCTTGTCACAACCGTTATCTGCTTTTAATTGAATCCGAGACCAACGTGATTAGGATAAGCAACCGTCGCGGAAGAGAGATCTCTGATTTGGAGGTGTCCCCCTCCTCCCCGTCATCTGGAGGGATGCTCCACATACAAAACGGGAAGGAAAAAAAATAATCAGAGGGGAAAAAATGTAAAACATTTTAGCAGCACACAGAAGCTGCCCGATCTCCCCAGAGCCCACCACAGGCGACGCGTCTGCTGGTTTTGGTTGTAATCGGCGCTGATGTCAACAGCGTCTCCTGCTCCACTGCAACACACACACACACACACGCACACACGCCGCTGCCTGTAAGAACTTCTAAACATGCTGTTAGCATCTCAGATGGGGGAAATTAATAACTGACTGGAGTCTTGGTGTTTGTGCCAGTCGTCTGGGATCCAGACCTTAAAATTCATACCATCACCTTTGTAGGAAATATTAAGTACACCTGACCCAACTTTCTGTAATTGGCTTGAATTATTATTTTTTATATATATATATATCCCCCAAAATATGGAAAACGATGTGATTTAATACTCTTAAAGGACAAAGCTAATCTCCTTTTACTTGTTAGACTCAAGAGTTTAACAAAGATGAGTTTCAAACTACGGTCTTCACAGAGACCCGTGTATTTTTAGACCTTCTATCTAATGCGGGTCACTGTGTTGAAACTTCGTCTGCATGAGACGACGTCCGAGTGTCAGAACAGTCGACGCGGCTGCAGTCTGGCTTTTATCGGCCAATTCCCAGAGCAACGAATCGCCAACAATCGCATCTCGGCGCGCTCCCCAAAAGATCTCGTGTCGGGGTCAGAGGTCGCTGCATGGACACTCATTAGTGACTTGAGCAGGAAATGAAAGCCAGGTATCAAACTGCAATGCACTTTGTGGCCTTGTTGAGTTTCTCTCTTATCTCTGTGTGTAGGTGTGTATTTGACCTCACCTCTCTGGTGCATTTCACCGACTGGAAGCCTCGGATATGAACTTCAGCGCAGTTTAAATCATTTCCAGTCTCTTTTATGCTCTGTAGACTCTCGATTCATTAAACATTAAAATGCACATTAAGGATCCGACTCTCTCTGTCTCACACACAGATGGAAGAATAAAAAGAAACAAAAAGGAGAGGGAAAACAGGGCTGTGAAAAATGTTTCTTTTTCTGCTTTTACTCATTTAATTATAAAAAAGTGATTTTATTGTTGAACTTTTATTAAGAACAAGATATCTAAACTAACTACGCTAAAGAGTAGTCAGACTGCATAGCTAAATAATCATCTCTTAACTGATTGACCTTAATAAAAAGAAATCAATAAAAACCTACAATAGATTTATCTCGTCAAGTAAAGATCTGATTACAACCAGACCTTCAAAATCAAGAAATCTTTTAACTAGAAGCTGCCGGGTCGGCAGAAAGCATGTCGCACTTCAAACACCGTCGCCAGAGACTCGCCTCATTACACACACGGCTCGCACTTCAAACTGCACAATGTAAAGAGAACCTGCCAGGACTTCCCTGGGTCAAAGTTCTCCGTGTCTTATTTTAGCCACCTTTTATACCTTTAAAAATAAATTATTAGCAATTTATTAGTGTTATTAACCACAGCTCGTTTTTAATGGTTGGCCTAAAATCGCAGCAGGAGACCCTGAGTAGTTTTGAGATGATGGAATAAATCCCATTTGGCTTTTCCATTGCTTTTTAAGGAGAATAAATGATTTGACAAATTTGTTTGATTTGTTTGAGATCCAATCTAAAGTCCAGTCAATTAGGTTGAGGAATAGATATTTCAACTTGTGAAGCTGCCATTTCTTTCAAATATTTTACATAATCTCTAATAAAAAAGAGGCACTTTTCCTGCGAATAGGTGAATCCACAAATATGGAACCACAGATTTCTGCAAACAGAAAGACATTACTTTATTGGTAAAGTGACGCAACAACCAAACGCTCTGTGGAAAAGACACAGGACAGTTTATAATTCGCAGACCATCCAAACAACTTCTGTGGGTTGTTTGTGAGCATAAAGTTGATCAGAAAATAGATCTCATACAGCTGGGGTTTGGAGTTGTGCGTGTCAGAGAAATACTGCTAATCAGAACTGGAGTTGAAGTTGCAACGTCAACCTCAATGATGGCAGAATTTATTGTTTTGTTGAAGTTGCTGTTGTTGTTTTTTTTCAAAGACAGCTTTATATCCCAACAGTTGTTTCCCTTCTACGGTAAATTCACAGGCAAAGTCGGCTCATCAAGAAATGCTTTTAAAATCTCTGCACAGGAAGCCGGTTTATTAGATCTCCAAGATTGAGTCATCGTATAAATCTTTATTTTATTAACTGAAATTCAAGCTGGAGACTTTATTACTGCTTTTCCATGTCTGCAGTGAATGTGCTGGCAGCTCCGTTACTCCTGACTCGTCTCGTGTTTGTAGCAATTCTCATGATGCGAATTATTTATTCACTGACCCGCCTCCTTTAAAAGCTCACTCCGTCCAGGTGTTTCTGAATTCTGATACAACTTGGACTTTCAGCAGGTGAATTTCAAGAGGAATTGAAAAATCTTTGCAATTGTACAAATGACTCTCTTTAATAGATACATATGTTGGTTTTTAAATACTTAAAGTGAAACTCATGGGACGTAACAGTTTGTTGTAATGAAACTTTAACTCTGAATTAATGAGTGCTTGAAAACACACACGCTGGAGAGGATTCCTTAATCCAGCACAGATCATTGTGCATGAATTATATGACGCCGCATAGAGAGTCTGAACCCGTAATTATCATCGTGGCTGATAATTGTTCTGCTTGTTGTGATGCTCACTTACAGCCTGAGGCGTTGACCTCTTTTCCACTCGTCTTGTTTCATCACACAGCGAGGAGCGGCGGCTTCTCGGGATGGATGGCGGCCATCAGGGCGTCGGTCTTAGTCTTTCGCAAAGTCAAAGTCGTCTTTAAATCTGTCTGTTAAATAGCTTCACGTTGTTATTTGCAGCTGTTTTGGTCATTCAGAGCTGAATGATGTGCTTGGATTCAGGAACAAAGTTTTCAACATGCCACTTGTGCACCAGGACAAGAGAAACACAAAAGTCAAAATGTAACTTGACACGTCGTAAGTAGTGAAAGGCAGCAGCAATGTGCAACTTGCCAGAGAAAGTAATCTTCTAAGAATTGTGTGCCTGGTTACAAATCACAGCATAAATACCTGAAGTGCCAGAAAATGCAGGCATCAGCCAGTTCACCAAACAAACTCCTCCACCGTTTATAGTCTCTTCTCTCACGTTTGCTGCAAATGAATTGTGAGGCACTCAATATTTGTGGCTTTTACGTTCCAGCAAAAGAGCCAACCATGAGAGAGGACACGACAATTTATGTTCAGGTGGCCTTGAACTTTGCTTCTGAGGGGAAACTATCTGAGAACTGCTTGCAACGGAAAATCGATGAGGATGTTTTGGAAGCGACTCTCAAATCTTCCAGCACAAATGAGTTCAGATGCACAATATCAGCTGTCCAAGTTTGAGTTTCTTTGAAAAACGTCGACAATGCTGCTCGTGTTCTACAGGTTATGAGAATTTCCTGTTTGCTCCAAACCAGTTAAGTATTGATGACAGAATCTCGTCCTTTGAATGGGACCATAATTCCAAGTCGTGCTTGAAAACAACAAGACACATTGTGTTCCATCCAGAACTGGATTTTGACCCTAAAGCTTTTGCTCTTTTCATTTTTATTCTGTCCTTATGCAGAAGCAGTTTCACTGGCATGCATTTCTGCCCCCCCCTTTTTTTTTTGTTTTCTTTTTTTTAAACTTTGTTTTATGTTCCAT